TGCAGCGGTTTAGCTTTAATACTATATTCGGGTTGACGCAGCCCGCGAGACAACCTCCCTCGTTTGGTATGATTATATACATCAGGTAAGACAGAGCAGGTTAGTTCTCTTGACTTCGCAAAAATGAGTCCCATCTCTGATGATGTTCGTCATCAGCTTAGTCCATTTTTACTTGAAGAGAAGAAGGATATCTCCTGACTACATTAGCCTGAACATCGTTTTAAATCCAAATGGTTGCAGTACAAAAGTAATAGGCCGTCGTCTTCTGGTGAGATTGACTCACAAATATCGTCAGCATGCACTTTCATACTAAATGAGAATGTTCACAACAATTTAATCTCATGAAATTCATCAAAACCCGCTTTTTTTTGTACATACAATGCCAGGTCACAAGCAATGCCTTTTTCTTGAGTTATTCCAGATTGAGTTTTGCTTGTCACGTAGTTGAAAAATAATATAAGTGACGATAAAGACCATTTCGATTGCATTCAAAAGATTTAAAGATAACAGATTCCTCCTTTTCTGCTATTCTTTCCAAAGACCCGACTCGCCAAGGCGTCCATTTCACAGCCCTTTAGCAGATTATAATAATAAGCAATTCGGATTGGAGGCCTGAGTCGGATAAGCCCATCAAAAGAGAGGGGTCGGAGTAAATAGCGAGTGTGATGAGGCCGCACTAGGTTTGCCACAAAAGGGCACACATTGTGACGATTTGACTGTAAACACGTGAGAGGTTGTGATAGGGCGCCAGTGGGATAAGAGATAAATAGATAGATAGATAGACAATGACAGAAAGAGGAGTAATAGTGTAACCGTTTTCGGCAGAACGGTTGTCGAGGCAGTGACTTCACTTGTCTCTTTGACGAGTTCGTATCTTGTTGCGGAGATTGGCAAAGCTCACTGATGATGCCGACTACGATGCCGGCGAAACGTTTGAGAATGTATCAAGTCCACTGTCTGATGCTGTGAATCATGACAACTACTATGGCAGACGGCTTTGGACTAGTTGCGTTCTACATACTCGCCCTGACAACAAGACCAAGTTGCGACAACGTGGTCAACCCCCTTCTTATAATTAAAGTTAAAGTATGTGCTTCTGATGGATAGATTAAGAAGCCTTAAGATTGGGCTTTTGCTCAGATTTGCTTCCCCAATAATTTCTGGGCGCTCATCTGTACTGAGTGTTAGTGTTTTAGTAGCTTTATGAACTGTGATGGCAGTATACATTGATACCACATAACCTTTTCACCGGAATCGAAGGAAATTACCTTGGAAACAGCGTCAGCATGAATCTTCCAGTAAAGCCAATCGACAGCTGGAATAATCGACCTTCGAATCTCTTCACCAAAGACTTTCACTCGAAATGGAAGTAAGCTAAACTATTATGAAACAAGAAATTCCTTGCATATAAAAGTCCTTTAGTCACCTTAACTGACGATGGCTGAGGAAGTTCATGTTTACGTGTAATCTGTATTTGCTTTCAGATTCTGTTGTTATTACTGCCTATTTGGTGACAGAGATCCTGAAACTGGATTGCCAATTTTCTTGTTACCATGTTATCTCTTAAACCTCAGATCCATGGGAAGAGCGTTCCTAAGATGTTACCCAGGTAGTACAGTCTTGGCACGACTACTTATGCCGCACTTCTTATCCAAGATCCACTGGTAGTTTTAAAACTGATTATAAGTAAATTATTATTTGCTCTACTGACACTTCTACTACAAAAATGTGATATGAGCAAGGTCTGGCCCTCCTTTAAGGTTTCGTCTGCCCTGTAGCTCAGGGGTACGTGTGACAGTGTGGCGTGGTGGTATCATGTCTAAATTATAGTTTGCACTACCAGAGTTCAAGCTCAGTGGGGATACTGATGATGCCCAGACATGGCTGAAACTGAAGTTAACTCCAGCTGGGATGAGGAAATCTTTTGAGTAGCAGGGCTATATGAAAGTGAATAGGAGCATGAGGACTATCCATATGATTGTGTGAGCACCGACAACAAGTCCTTATCGCTTTAGCGAAATAAGGTGGATGAATTTCTTAATGAAGTTCTTATCCCAATTAATGTTGTCTCATGTGACAATTGATACATTTCTTGATGATCTTCTACTCGTACGTTTTCGATTTCTCAACTTCCAAATCTTTTTTTTTCAGAGTGCTCTGGTCACTTCCAGTCCGGAGGCCTACTTTCCCGCCGGCTACACCGTTCCATTGACCAGCTCGTGCCAGGCTACCGGCTTCGGCGTAAACGTCGGCCTCGGTCTCTCCTACTCGGGCTATCACCAACTGGCTACATGCCTGGAGTCGACAGCAATCTCAACGGCATCTACAGCCGCAGTCCCAGCCGCGCCCTGTTGCCCTTCACTCGCTGGTCCACTTCGTGCGATTCGGCCGGTGGCTGGTCTTAAGAGTCAGTCTTCCGGCTTCGAGGACGACCGAGTCTTGGCGGCGACAGCGAGGCCAGTCCGACGCTCCTCCGTCAGGCCTCTGCGAGAAAACACCACCGCGACGTTAGCGATATCGGCGACCTCGGCGACAGGCCGGCCTGTCACGCCCAACTATCTGGAAAGCCGACTCAGCCCCTGCAACCGTAGCACAAGCATCAGCACCAGCACCAGCATCGGCATTAGCACCAGCGCCAGCAGCAGCAGCAGCAGCAGTGACCAAACCACGTCTGGCGTGGAAGACGCCGCTCTGCTGCTGTTAGAGGCGGCAGCCTGGTCGGGCCGTAGGGCTGCCGTCTCGACAGACCGGTCCTCAATTCACCAGTCGAATGGCCTCACACATGCACCCGTCCACTTATTGGGACAGCAGGCGATCTGGGATCACGGTCCGGAGCTGGAGCGCAACCGCGAAGGCCGGCTTCACGCTAGGGACTGTCCTTTGGACCTGCCGACGGGACGGCTCAACGGGCCCAGCAACTATGCGACAATGCGAATCGCCTGATTAGTTCACTTTTCCCTGCTTCGCCTTGCCTCGCCTCGCCTTGCCTCGCCTTGCTTCTCACACTACGCAGCCTTCTCACTTACTCCACTTTTATTATTCTCCATCTTAGTCACACCTTGTATGAAATCTCGACCCACCGAGATTTGGCCTACTTCATGGCGTCTCTCCCGATGACTGTACACGCAGATTTGTCCAATCTGTCTATCCTTGCATCTCTATGACAATCTGATGCTCTGACAGGCATATACGCGACATACAGTCGTCAGGTCCGGCTCGGTTCTTACTCGTCATCTCAACTTCTAAGTTGACTTTACGAGTTCCTCTACGAGTTTCCCCTTGTTCATACTGTCCGCTGAGGTGACTGCTTTATTGGCCAATTACGATGATTTCTTGGGATATTTAGTGTATTATAATCACTCACAGAGCACCTGCATGCTCCATATGGCTACCATACAGAAGACAAGGCAAACAAATGTTCAGCATAAAGACAAAAGGATGATCGTTATAGTTGCTCACACCTGCCTATCTATCTATATCATACACAAACACATTCATTAAATCATTCCAAATCTAGAGCGACCACTCCACTTATCACTCAGGCAATTATAACATCTATCCGTACATCTAACGATCTATCTATACATATATACATATTGTAAATATTACAAATGATTATAAATTATGAACATGCACTTGGTTTTTCTACCTTTATCCTAGGGCCGGACAGCGGTAGCATAATTCAATGTATTCTTTTCTCGCATTTGTGGCAAAACTGGGCATCGAAGACCATTATTATAGCTTCTTGCCACATCCACATTCATTTCACATATCAACTCTATTCATCTATAGGCATGAAATATGACCTTTATCCACAGTAGGTCGCTTAAGGGGACTTGCTAACTAATAGCGAAATTTTCCTTAATAAACTGAGAGGGCAACAGGAAATAAATAAAACCCTAAATCACTTTAAGCGATGTCGACTACACTGCCGACGAAACGTTTGGGAATGTATCCAGCAAATGCTCTAATGTTAAATATCACGAATAGTATTGCAGAGGACTCAGACTAGGTACGTTCCACAAGGTCTCCCTGACAATCCGAACAAGGTGCGAAAACAAATTGGAATAAATGCTAAACTGTTCTATATTCAGCATTACCTAGAATCTAATCTCATTATGAGTATATATATATTATGTAGACAAGAGCTAGTCAATCTTCTTGACGTAACGTTAACTTGTGACGTACAATAATTAGTCTAAGTTCTGATGATGTTCGTCATCACGAATAAAATTTCAAAACATCTCTAAGACCATGTCGTATTCAAGACAAAAAGGCTGCAGCACAATAGGAATCAGCCGTCATCTTCTGGTCAGATCGACCTAAGAATGTCTTAATCATGCACTTTCACACAAAATAAAAGTAGCTATTCGAAGTTTATCTCAGGAGATAACTCTAAATAATATTTTTATTCATATAATCAACAAGAAGAAGAATTTGGTTTTTGGGTTTGTATAAATATATTCTCGTAACACTACTTAAATACGAAATATAAATATAGGCAAGACTCTCACTTTCTAAGGTTTTCCGTATCCTTCAAATGAATATGAATTTCGGCATGTGAACCTGAAAGAACGTAACCGTTTTATAGTGATGGCAGAGGCGTAATTATAAAAGATCTAAGATATGAAGACCCAGCTGGTGTGGCCTTTTGTGTGGTCACAGTCTCCTTCCATTGTATAAATGTTGTTTGACCTTTTTTTTCGCAACTTGGTCATATTAATAAAAAGACTTAGAGGAACGCACCTTGTC